AGAGCTCTTGATGCATAAGAAACTGGTTGATCATCGTGTAGGATGCAAGCTCCTAGGCCATGTGATGATGCATCCACTGAGAGTTTGATGGGTTTTGACACATTGTAGTATTTCAGTACTGGTGCTTCAGTGATGGCAGTTTTCAGTCTGTCAAAATAGGATTGTTGCACATCAGTCCATTTCCATGCAATATTTTTCTCTAGAAGTTTCCTCAACGGTTGATTCATGGATGACATGTTTGGGATGAATTTTCCAAGGTAATTCACCATTCCCGTGGACCTTTGCAGATCTTTCTTGTTCTCTGGTACTGGCATCTCCAACACTGCTTTCACTTTCTCCTCACACGGTTTCAGTCCTTGGGATCCAAACTTGTGACCTACATATGTGACCTCATTCAGTCTGAATTTAAATTTTCCCTTGTTCAGTCTCAAGTTTACTTTCTCACATCTCTGTAGAACTTTCTCCAGTCTCCTATCATGTTCTGCAGTATCTCTTCCCCATATCAGTAGGTCATCTGCAATAACCTCACATCCTTCAATATCTTCAAAGATCTGGGTCAGAGTTCTCTGAAAGATTTCTGGTGCAGAGCATATCCCAAATGGTAATCGTTCAAACTTGAATCTTCCAAAGGGTGTATTAAATGTAGTGAGCCGTGTACTCTCATCATCTAATTCAATCTGGTAGAACCCTGATGCAGCATCTAGTTTGCTGAAGACAGTGGCCTCCTTCAATGTCGCTGCCACTTCCTCTACTGTCTTTAGAGGATAGTGTTTCATGAGAATAACCTTGTTAAGATTATGCGAGTCCAGACATACTCTGACGGTTTTGTTTGCCTTCTCCACAACAGCTATTGGATTGACCCATTTAGTTGGAGTCTCAACTTTTGTGATGACACCAGCATCCTCCATCCTCTGTAGTTCCATCTTGACCTTGATCCTGAGAGCAAATGGAATCTTGCGTGGCGCATGTATTACTGGCATAACATCTGGAACAACTTTGATGTGATGACGAACTCCTTCAATCTTGCCTAGTCCTTTGAATACCTGCTTATATTTAACCTCTATGTCTGCTGTACTACTTGGCCCATCCTTCTCTGTTGATAGCATGAACATTGGTTTGATCAGCTTCATTTCCATACATGCTTCTAGTCCTAAAATGGGTTCCACATCTTGGTCCACTATGATGAACTTCAGAGTATATAGGTGAGTGTCCTGTTCCACTAGCAGTAAAGTTTTACCCAGAATTTCCAGTTTAGGTCCAAAATATGATACTAGCTTTGTCTTAGACTTGGTAAGCATCTTTCCTCCTAGAGACTTGTACAGCTCCTTGGACATCACATTACCCTGAGCTCATGTATCCAGTTTCAGCCTCACTGGTGTGTCATTGATTAGGACTTTCAGTTTCCATTCTTTATTTCCTGCATCCTGTTCACCTACACCGAACACAAAGCATGCCTCTTCATCTGATTCACCTGTTTGATCTGATTCCTCAGATTCCTTATCCAACATGTGTACCTTTTTCTTTCTCTCTTCACTTTTTAGTCCAGCATACTTTGTCTAAGTGACTCTTCTTTCCACAGCTTCCACATGTTTTCCCATAGGCTGGGCACTCGCCTTTCCCATGCCTATTTCCACAGAATGTACAGTTATATTCATGTTTCTTCCTGTAATGCCTGCCTCTTTCTTTGTGTTTTCTTCTGTTCTGTTTCTGTTCCATCTTGACATGTTTATCACCCTATTTACTTGTTCCCTTCCTCTGTGATACTACATGCACTGATTTCTCTGACTCAGCCATTTCTTTTAGCTGTGTATTGCTTGCTTCAGCAGCCCTACAAATGTCTATTGCTTTGGCTTGTGCCAAATCAGCTTCCCGTAACAGTCTGCCTCTTACGTGGTCACTGACAATCCCACAAACAATGCGATCCCTGATAAGTGAGTCATGTAATGTCCCATACTCACAAGTTTTGGCTTTATTCCCTAGGTCTGTCACATAATTGTCAATATACTCTCACCCTGCGCTTGGTTTCTGGTGTTCAATAAATGTCTTTCATATGTAACATTCTTTCTTGGATTACAATACCTTTTAAGCGTCTCATAAAATCTTTGCTACCTTTGTCGCATCGTCTGCTTCAGTCCCCGTGAAAGTATTGTAATGTCCAGCGCATCCGGTCCGAGCACATGCAACAACAAGTTCACTCGAATTTCTCGTCTTTCTCGCCAAGGCCACTTGCTGCGCTGTAAGTGTCAAACTGCTGTTTGAAACGTCTCCAATTCTCTGCTAGGTTGCCTTGCAAATTCAATATACCAGAGGTGGGTTTAGTCTTTCCATCCTTAATTTCTTCTGACACCATGTGATGGACGAGGCTCACGTGGGCGATGACTATTTATTCAGTGAGAGACGAGGAATACATTCAAGGGAGATCACTCCGACAACCTTATCTAGGTCAACACGATCTGGCTCATGATACTGTCATTACAACTACTTCACAACCCTAGTTCGGTTCCAGCTCGAAAATGAAATAAAAATCAAGTCAAATCATATTTGCATCGAAGTGCATCGAGTGTTAATTCGAATATATGCAGGTAGTTGTCCTTCCCAATCACGTGTAAATATAGGTCAGTGTTGAACGCTCCCATTTCGTAACACAAGTGTGATGAACCGAGCCAAACTCCCACGACCCGAGACGTGAGCTCCACACAGTGAGTCACTCACAGTCTCTTGCACATGCAAGATCCGGGTCAGAATAGGTCTTAGGCCACCCATGTCGTAAAAGGCAACTAACGGTATCGGGTGGTCAGGCTCGCTGACTTGATTACCACATGTTGCGTACATGGATGCTCATGCAGTTAATCGGTGGGTTGACTAGTCCAGACTTATAACATATGTTATATTTGGGATTACACTTTCTTAGTAAAGTACAGATTCTAGTACTTTTTTGGGTTGAGTCCCATCCGCGATTCGAACCCACACTCTCAGAGTCAGGCACCTAATCGCCAGCACACAAAGTCAGACGCCTAGACCGCTCAGCCACCGCGGCTTCGAATCGCGGATGGGACTTAACCCCAAAAAGTACTAGAATCTGTACTTTACTAAGAAAGTGTAATCCCAAATATAACATATGTTATATTTTACCACTTTCTAAAAAATGGCATCGTGTATTTCATAGTCCAGACTTGATTATTTACACACCGCCGCCACATAGCTGGAATAATGCTGAGTGCGGCGTTGAACAACCAACCAACCAGTGTCGGAACACCGACTGACTCCTCTATCAGCTGATCAGCGCGAATTTCCTTCGATGGAGGTTGGTCATCCGATGCCCATGCTTGCTGACTAAGATACTAATCAACTTTGTGGAGCCATGGAGTTGTTCCAGCAAAGTCATATTTTAAATGCAGTGAAAGTTATCACATTTCTCAAACCCAGAGACCGCCTCCGTGGTGTAGTGGTTAGAGCGTCCGCCCGGAGAGCGAAAGGTCGCGGGTTCGATCCCCGACAGCGTCATACCAAAAAGACGTTAAAATATGGTACTTGTTGGTCCCTGCCTGGCGCTCGGCATTAATGGGTACAACAAGGACTGGTCGGCTCGGAGTCAGTATAATGTATCTGAGTGGGGTATTCATGCTTCACTGCGGCATGGTATCTCAGTGGGCTAGCACTATAAAACCAGCTTCAGTCTGGGCTAGTACAAGCAGCCGCACATACACATACACACGCATGCACGTCGTCATATGAGCGAAATATTCTCAAGTATGACGGTAAACCCAATTTCACCTCACCTCACCTCACCTCAAACCCAGAGCGTGACGGCGGTACGTTTCCATAGACATGGATTACAAAACAAGCTCTCGTAATAATTTCAGCTTGTGTTCTAAACTGCTCACCAGGAATATGTTACCATATCAGACGATTTTACGTGTGCTTCAAATTAATGGCACTTTGCTGCGGTTAAGTACACGCTTAAATGTACATGTGTCACAAATGACGTTGGTAAATGTTTAATTGCAAGTTGTGACAGGCATACGCATGCAGTGACAATGACTATAAAGCCAAAACTGGAACCTGGTATCTACCGAGACTTATTGCTGCCAATCGTGGGAATTTGGCCCAGAAGGCAGGTATTTGATCCTGCATTGACACGCTTGCAACGACGGCAAACGTATGCGATGGAGCAACATCTCTGTCTCGACGTCAAAATGAAAGTGGAAATGTGATATACAACCCCGGAGATCTGATATTGGGCGACTAATGGTAATATGAGGGCAAAACAGTACATCTCCCAATGGGGCGGTGGGGTAACCTAGTGGTTAAAGCGTTCGCTCGTCACGCCGAAGACTCGGGTTCGATTCCCCACATGGATACAATGTGTGAAGCCCATTTCTGGTGTCCCCGCAGTGATGGAGCTGGAATATTGCTAAACGCGGCGTAAAACTAAATTCACTCACTCACTCACTCACTTCTCCCAAGATCTTCAAAGCCACCTTCTTTCAACACGCCACTCCCTCACCGTACAGAAGGTACGTCACTGTTGACGTCCATACAATTCAAACGTCAATGCCTTGTTTAAATTTGTTTCAAGAATTGCTCGAAAGTATGCAGGTCGTTATGCGGGAGAATCGTTTTTGTGACAGCACGAACGCGTGAATACTGCTGACAAAGCGTAATCAGATACAGATTCTAACGACAGGTCGATTGATCACTTCACAAAAAATAGACACAATGCCTTAGACGACGGTGACGCATGAACCCTATCAAACCACAATATGATTTAATAATGAGTCATCAAAAGTCTCTATCAGAAACTACGTGAGTCCTCGAAGTCTCAAGTCCTTTTGACGGATCATATTCACTTAATCAATTGTAATCTTTCGTTTATTTTTTTTAATCTGACAAAAATTACCTGGAACTGGAATTCCAGTGTTAACGTAATATATATTTGATTCTTTATTGTCGATAAGTCGTTCAAGGAGTCTGCACTTGAAATATCTAATTCTGTTTATTGAACTTTGGTCGGTACTACAATACAGATAGAATCAAGTGAAGACAGATGTACCCGTATACGCACAATGTGTATAGTGTCAGTGACACAGGAATACCTCGCCGATGGTTCTACCGGAATGAATCAAGGGTCACTTTCACTTAGACAATCAGTTTCTCCTGTGTCGGCAACTAAGCCTTGTTCCCGGGAAATCAACAAGTGTATGGCACTTGTCCCAACAGAAAGCACCCACACTTTATTCATATATCTTGATTCACGCCCTCGATGTCACTATTGAAATCTGCAGCACGGAAACGAAAACCGCTTTAGACGCAAATGTCAGGATCTGACCAGTAAAATAAGTGAATGTAGTGTCTTGTCCATTCTGTGAAGTAGGTTTCGATATGAAGCAAGACGCCTGTGTTATTTTCCTGGGATGATTAACATGTGTACTATTGTGTCAATAGGTGATACAATATGTCTTACCAGTGACTGCAGATGTGGGCATCGTATGACTATAGAGTATGAATGGGGTCTATTTTACACCGCTTTGTATTTCATATATACCAGGGCCTATCACCTGGACGTCGAAAGAAGTGGTGCAAGACGTTTAAATCATCACTTTTGGATTGGTGCTTACAAACTAAGAAACCTGGTTTATTCGGGATTCGAACACACCACCATAAGTGAATGATACGCAACAGTATTGGATCTGTGCCATCTGTACCTATTATTATTATTATTATTATTATTATTATGCTGCCTACAAGCGAGACGGAGAAGGTGGTGTCTTCTTATAAGATTAACTCGAGAAGTCTTTGTCTTTTCGAACGTTAGTCAGGTAAAGGCTGAAATAGTGCAGATGTGACTCTACATTCACTCGCTCACTCGCCCTTTCGAACGTTTTCACAGAAAACCGATCCTCCGTATGACCAGTATTGCTCACAGGTGCGTAGCCAGCCAATTTATTCGTGTAAGCCCGATAGGTTGCAAAGCTTTATATTTAGATAGTATTGAGGGCTTGCCCAACCCTTTTTATCAACAATCATGTGTAAGCCCGGGCTTTTTTCACAATGGTAGCTACGCCCCTGGCTCAGGAAGACGTTGCAAACATATGATCTTATGCTGTCAATGTACCCACTATTCATACACTGTTAAAAAGGTGGGACACCCGAGTAGGAAGAAATAAACCTCATGAATTGAAACAGCAATTGGTCATACCTACCTGGGTTGTCAGTCGAGACCTGATGAGGTAGCTGTACCACGATGTCGTATTGGCCACAGCCGGTTTTGTCATGACTATCTGCTGAAAACGGATGGAGTTGGATTTCCCATGTGTGTCTCTTGCGATGAAGTGTTCATCATCAAACATAGTCTGCTTGACTGTACGGACTTTTCAAATGCGACAAATCTGAAATTGTAACTGTGTAATGTGAATGACGAATTGCTTTTTTGAATTTGGTGCTATGACACATTTTGTTTGTAAATAATAATGTCTGTAACCGCTACAATCTCCCTGAAACGTAAAGAACGAAACATGAGACTGTAACCGCTACAATCTCCCTGAAGAGTAAAGAACGAAACATGTTGGAGAAAAAGGCATTCTGTTTTTATTTATCTATGTGATATATATATATATATATATATATATATACATATATCTATATATATATATATATGTATATATATATCTGTGTGTGTGTGTGTTTACAAAACACACACATTTGGACTTTGTACTTAAAATGTTTATGAATGCAGACTTGATCTCGTTACTTTATTGGCTGAAATAATGCCGATGTGACTCAACCCAACCCAATCATACACTGTTTCATCAATCAGGATAAAGGAAATAATAATGAGTCTATTTATATGGCGCAACTCCATACACTATGTGTATGCTCATAGCGCTACAAATATACTTACTACAATATCAATTTAAACTCTGTCAATGGGGACACAAGGACAAGTCAGTAGATTTCAGTCAAGGTATGACTGCCGGAAGAGATATGTTTTTAGCTTGGACTTGAAAAGCGAGACCGTTTCGAGTTCTTTGAGTTCATTTGGGAGTTTGTTCCACAGAACTGCAGCATTATAATTGAAAGATCTTTGGCTAAATCGTTTCATGGTGAGTGAGTATGGCTAACAGCGCTTTTAGCACGTTTCAAGGTGAGTGAGTATGGCTTAACGGCGCTTTTAGCACGTTTTAAGGTGAGTGAGTATAGCTTAACGGCGCTGTTAGCACGTTTCAAGGTGAGTGAGTATGGCTTAACGGCGCTGTTAGCACGTTTCAAGGTGAGTGAGTATGGCTTAACGGCGCTGTTAGCACGTTTTAAGGTGAGTGAGTATGGCTTAACGGCGCTGTTAGCACGTTTTAAGGTGAGTGAGTATGGCTTAACGGCGCTGTTAGCACGTTTCAAGGTGAGTGAGTATGGCTTAACGGCGCTGTTAGCACGTTTCAAGGTGAGTGAGTATGGCTTAACGGCGCTGTTAGCACGTTTCAAGGTGAGTGAGTATGGCTTAACGGCGCTGTTAGCACGTTTCAAGGTGAGTGAGTATGGCTTAACGGCGCTTTTAGCACGTTTCAAGGTGAGTGAGTATGGCTTAACGGCGCTGTTAGCACGTTTCAAGGTGAGTGAGTATGGCTTAACGGCGCTGTTAGCACGTTTCAAGGTGGTGTTCGGAATGTGGAAGTGGATGCTGGTCTGCTAAGCGAAGGACTGGGCGGTTTATATGCTTGGTCCTTTGTCCTCCACCTGAATTCGCCCCTGCTGATATTACTCACTCACTCTTCTCTTCCGTGGCATTAATGTATACTACAAACAAAAAGTATTGGAACAACCTAAAATTTGATGGTCAAAAACAGCGAAAAACAAGGGTGCTGAAACACACCTGCGCCATGTTTGATTCAAACGCCCATATACAACAGCCTAGTGCATGTGGAAGACAGACTTCCCATTTAGCTTGTGGCTTAGAGTATAAATGACTGACTGACTGAGTTTGCTTTTACGCCGCTTTTAGCAATATTCCAGAAACATCACGGCGGGGGACACCAGAAATGGGCTTCACACATTGTACCCATGTGGGGATTCGAACCCGGGTCTTCAGCGTGACGAGCCAACGCTTTAACCACTAGGCTACCCGAACCGCCCTAGAGTATAAATGACCTCACCACGTTTAAGTTTATATATGACTATCAAATTTTAGGGTGGACCCATACTTTTTGTTTGTAGTATATTACCACGCTACGTGGCTGTGTACAAGTTCTACTTTCCTTTCACCCCAGCACCTCGGATGTGCGTCGATTATGATTGCGAGTGTTCGAAACTATTCTTTCCGTAACTAAAGAGGCACTGCGTTGTGTCTTACTTGGGTTTCCTCTTGTCGAATCAACAGAGCCCCAATCTTCTTCCTCCTTTTGCAGAAGCTCATTATATGAGTGCATGTTGTCATCACCGTGGAAATGTCATGTACCAGTGTATTAGCGGTTATTGTGTACTGTCCTTCGAAGTTCTACTTGTGCTGACACTCGTTGAGACCTATGCTCTTCCAGCTAATATAATATTATACTGAGGTGGTTGCGTGCATGACTGTACGGTGTTACCGACTGTACCTACATCCGCCATGCGGATTCATGTTTGGTCGTGTGTTGTAATGTCACTTAAATTCTGTGAAAACCCATTTTCGTGCAAAGCTTGCATACATGATTTCAAGTAGGGGACGTGACACCATCCGGCCTGTTTAGTGCCTTGTTTCGGCTTCAGAGTATACTTTCGTCTATTAAATATCTAAACCACATAGGGGCGGTGGGGTAGCCTAATGGTTAAAGCGTTGGCTCGTCACGCCGAAGACCCGGGTTCGAATCCCCCACATGGACACAATGTGTGAAGCCTATTTCTGGTGCCCCCCGCCGTGATGTTTCTGGAATATTGCTAAAAGCGGCGTAAAACCAAACTCAGTCAGTCAGTCTAAACCACATAAGTGGAGGTCATTAGAAATTATACTGTGGCGGTGGGGTAATGGTTAAAGCGTTCGCTCGTCACGTCGAAGACCCGGGTTCGATTCCCCACATGGGTACAATGTGTAAAGCCCAGTTTTGGTGTCCCCGCCGTGATATTGCTGGAATATTGTTAAAAGTGGCGTAAAACTAAACTCACTCACTCACACTCACTCAATTAATAATATACTATAACACTGTGCTGACAACATTTTATTTTCAATGAATTTGGCCTGTTATGAAAAATATTTTAGAATAGAAGTTTCAGCAAACCGAAGAAAAATGAAGGTCAGAATCTGATGATCCAAACTATCACTTTCAAAACGCCTGTCCAACAACAATAAGTAAAGTCTCTGCATTACACTTTTGACTATTAACGAATATGTTCATCGTGTGCAGCTACGAGACGTCACTGCCTTGATGACGTCAAGAAGAGACCGCTCCATGTCCTGACTCTGTCCTGACATGAACCCAATCGTGAAGGTATGGGCTAAACGGGAACGTTCACGCTGTTGGGTCCTCGATCAGAATGGACAGAATGGGGTTTGGTGGTGTTGTGTTGGAGGAATATAATGTTGCTGAAGAAATGACAGCAGAACGGGTTTAAAATTTCATATAGACCCTTCTGTTGGTTAATAATGACGGGGTCAGTGGGGTAGCCTTGTGGTTAAAGCGTTCGCTCGTCACGACGAAAACGCCAGTTTGATTCCCCACAAGGGTACAATGTGTGATGCCGTTTTGGGTCGTCTCCCGCCGTGATATTGCTGGAATATTGTAGAAACCGGTGTAAACCTAAACTCAGTCACTTAAATCCCCACTGATTCCTCTTGCTGGACGTTAGTAACTGTTCATGTTCTGTTGCTTCAGAGTTCAGCTTCCTTGGTTCACTCGAAAGAAAATGTCCACGAGAGCGTGTGCTGATAATTTGAAATTTCCCCAAATGCTAGTTTCGGTCTGTATTGTGACTTGTCGCTTTATTACATCGTGCCTTATAAGGTCATGAGGATTTCTGAAATATATCTGTAAACACTCAAAAGTCGCTTTGTTCCCAAGATGGCCATCGGAAACGGAGATGGTTGTGTAATCTGTCACAACCGGTAGAAAGTGAAGACGTTGTGGGAAATCACGCCCACATTATTGTTGGTGATATCAATGAGACTGTTACTCCACAGAGTAATCGATAATATCGTACATTAACTTTTGTGAATTTTAATTTACTCACACAATCTACAAACCTTGCTTTCTATTTCGTATGGACTGCTTATGCTTCTGACGCAGTATAGTTTTTAACCCATGCATAAACTCACCAGTGATGAGAAATATATTCATTCCTTTCAGACGTTTTTTTGTATTTTCGCTCAAGGTTACTTCTCCGATATGCATCGATAATCGATCGATATTTAGTTAACGATTATCTATCTCTGTAATCTATATCGATAGCCAGCTCTATCTTGCAGCATTCAGGATATGTCGAGAGCCTTCATCCCATTTCACAGGCAAGTCAGGAGGCTTATGTATGAACACCAGCCCCTATCCCATTCCACCATAACCCACATCCCATCTGTTTGGTCGCCTCGTTGTTGCAGTTGTTGCTGGGGACCTATTCTAACAAGAACTTCCAACAGAGGTCTCTGCTTCACATCTTGGGCGAGTATTGTCGAGGCTAATACTTCAGGAGTTTTCCCATTTTGATAGGACTTTGTTGAAAGGTAAAAGACCCAAACTGTGTATCATCGCGGAGTGAGTTTGCTCTATCCTTCAATGAATGCACAGAAAGCAACAATCTTTGTGATAAAGTTACTCTAGAGATGGTTAAACCCGAGAGGGAAAAGTGTTGTTGTCACGCCCGAGGTAATGTTGTTTTATCTCAGTGTACGGTCATTCTCTGTCATGTATATTGTAAAATGACTTCTGTAATCACACAGAGGTACGTTTCACTTGTCAGGAACCTCTTTCAAATAACAACTGATCGTATTCCGTAAGGCTTCAAATTAATTTTAAACAGATTTTTAAAAAAATAAATAAAGATTTTAACATGTGTCCTGTTTCCCCTTTGAAGAACATTGACCTTGTCCACTACGTCGCCAGGCTCACTGCACCGCACACTACCTTCGCTAGACGGCCCAGTTCCAATATCGTTGAGAGTAGTTTGTTAAGCTTACTACCAACAGAAGTGAAATTGTTATGTTCACGACACTGCAGAGGAGAACTACGAATCTTGGAATGGTAACTTGAACAAGCATGAACTTAAAACTGAATAAGGATCTCCAAGGGATACTATCACAGATATTGACATGAAAATATGTGCTGTTTCCTTCAACATCCACAAGGCTTGACTTGATTCAATTCAATTCTTTATTGTATGAAGGCCATAGGTCCATATACAAAAGAGATACATCTTAACAATGGCATGTATAGTCAACTTTCTAACTCATCAATTCTTTTCTTCACAAAACTGCATTGTAAATAAATAGACAGCTAAAAGCGAACATCATTCTATTATTGACAGTTCGTGACAGGGACCCTCGTAAACTCTTGGCAGTTTGAAAAATATGAGTTCCCAATGCAGTGTCCAGGCAGTGCTTTTAATGTTTACAGTTCGTGACAGGGACCCTCGTAAAGTCTGGGCAGTTTGATATATATGAGTTCCCAATGCAGTGTCCAGACAGTGTTTCTAATGTTTACAGTTCGTGACATCGACCCTCGTAAACTCTTGGCAGTTTGATACGTGGGGGTTCCATATGCAGTGTTTAGACAGTGTTTCGAATGTTTACAGTTCGTGACATGAACCCTCGTAAACTCTTGGCAGTTTGATACATGCGAGTTCCATATACAGTGACCAGGGGAGTGTTTCTAATGTTTACAGTTCGTGACAGGGACCCTCGTAAACTCTTGGTAGTTTGATACATGGGAGTTCCATATGCAGTGTTCAGGCAGTGTTTCTAATGTTTACAGTTCGTGACAGGGACCCTCGTAAACTCTTGGCAGTTTGATACATGGGAGTTCCATATGCAGTGTTTAGGCAGTGTTTCTAATGTTTACAGTTCGTGACAGGGACCCTAGTAAACTCTTGGCAGTTTGATATATGGGAGTTCCATATGCAGTGTCAGACAGTGTTTCTAATGTTTACAGTTCGTGACATGAACCCTCGTAAACTCTTGGCAGTTTGATATATGGGAGTTCCATATGCAGTGTTTAGGCAGTGTTTCTAATGTTTACGGTTCGTGACATAGCCCCTCGTAAACTCTTGGCAGTTTGATACATGGGAGCTCCATATGCAGTGTTCAGGCAGTGTTTCTAATGTTTACAGTTCGTGACATCGACCCTCGTAAACTCCTGGCAGTTTGATACGTGGGGGTTCCATATGCAGTGTTTAGACAGTGTTTCGAATGTTTACAGTTCGTGACATGAACCCTCGTAAACTCTTGGCAGTTTGATACATGCGAGTTCCATATACAGTGACCAGGGAGTGTTTCTAATGTTTACAGTTCGTGACAGGGACCCTCGTAAATTCTTGGCAGTTTGATACATGGGAGTTCCATATGAAGTGTTCAGGCAGTGTTTCTAATGTTTACAGTTCGTGACAGGGACCCTCGTAAACTCTTGGCACTTTTTATATATATGAGTTCCCAATGCAGTGTCAAGACAGTGCTTCTAATGTTTACAGTTCGTGACAGGGACCCTCGTAAACTCTGGGCAGTTTGATATATATTAGTTCCATATGCAGTGAGCAGGCAGTGTTTCTAATGTTTGGTTCGTGACATGGACCCTACTAAACTCTTGACAGTTTGATATATGGGAGTTCCATATGCAGTGTTTAGGCAGCGTTTCTAATGTTTACGGTTCGTGACATAGCCCCTCGTAAACTCTTGGCAGTTTGATACATGGGAGCTCCATATGCAGTGTTCAGGCAGTGTTTCTAATGTTTACAGTTCGTGACATCGACCCTCGTAAACTCCTGGCAGTTTGATACGTGGGGGTTCCATATGCAGTGTTTAGGCAGTGTTTCGAATGTTTACAGTTCGTGACATGAACCCTCGTAAACTCTTGGCAGTTTGATACATGCGAGTTCCATATACAGTGACCAGGGAGTGTTTCTAATGTTTACAGTTCGTGACAGGGACCCTCGAAAATTCTTGGCAGTTTGATACATGGGAGTTCCAGCATGAAGTGTTCAGGCAGTGTTTCTAATGTTTACAGTTCGTGACAGGGACCCTCGTAAACTCTTGGTAGTTTGATACATGGGAGTTCCATATGCAGTGTTCAGGCAGTGTTTCTAATGTTTACAGTTCGTGACAGGGACCCTCGTAAACTCTTGGCAGTTTGATACATGGGAGTTCCATATGCAGTGTTTAGGCAGTGTTTCTAATGTTTACAGTTCGTGACAGGGACCCTAGTAAACTCTTGGCAGTTTGATATATGGGAGTTCCATATGCAGTGTCCAGACAGTGTTTCTAATGTTTACAGTTCGTGACATGAACCCTCGTAAACTCTTGGCAGTTTGATATATGGGAGTTCCATATGCAGTGTTTAGGCAGTGTTTCTAATGTTTACGGTTCGTGACATAGCCCCTCGTAAACTCTTGGCAGTTTGATACATGGGAGCTCCATATGCAGTGTTCAGGCAGTGTTTCTAATGTTTACAGTTCGTGACATCGACCCTCGTAAACTCCTGGCAGTTTGATACGTGGGGGTTCCATATGCAGTGTTTAGACAGTGTTTCGAATGTTTACAGTTCGTGACATGAACCCTCGTAAACTCTTGGCAGTTTGATACATGCGAGTTCCATATACAGTGACCAGGGAGTGTTTCTAATGTTTACAGTTCGTGACAGGGACCCTCGTAAATTCTTGGCAGTTTGATACATGGGAGTTCCATATGAAGTGTTCAGGCAGTGTTTCTAATGTTTACAGTTCGTGACAGGGACCCTCCTAAACTCTTGGCACTTTTATATATATGAGTTCCCAATGCAGTGTCAAGACAGTGCTTCTAATGTTTACAGTTCGTGACAGGGACCCTCGTAAACTCTGGGCAGTTTGATATATATTAGTTCCATATGCAGTGACCAGGCAGTGTTTCTAATGTTTACAGTTCGTGACATGGACCCTACTAAACTCTTGACAGTTTGATATATGGGAGTTCCATATGCAGTGTTTAGGCAGCGTTTCTAATGTTTACGGTTCGTGACATAGCCCCTCGTAAACTCTTGGCAGTTTGATACATGGGAGCTCCATATGCAGTGTTCAGGCAGTGTTTCTAATGTTTACAGTTCGTGACATCGACCCTCGTAAACTCTTGGCAGTTTGATACGTGGGGTTCCATATGCAGTGTTTAGACAGTGTTTCGAATGTTTACAGTTCGTGACATGAACCCTCGTAAACTCTTGGCAGTTTGATACATGCGAGTTCCATATACAGTGACCGGGGAGTGTTTCTAATGTTTACAGTTCGTGACAGGGACCCTCGAAAATTCTTGGCAGTTTGATACATGGGAGTTCCATATGAAGTGTTCAGGCAGTGTTTCTAATGTTTACAGTTCGTGACAGGGACCCTCGTAAACTCTTGGCACTTTTATATATATGAGTTCCCAATGCAGTGTCAAGACAGTGCTTCTAATGTTTACAGTTCGTGACAGGGACCCTCGTAAACTCTGGGCAGTTTGATATATATTAGTTCCATATGCAGTGACCAGGCAGTGTTTCTAATGTTTACAGTTCGTGACATGGACCCTACTAAACTCTTGACAGTTTGATATATGGGAGTTCCATATGCAGTGTTTAGGCAGCGTTTCTAATGTTTACGGTTCGTGACATAGCCCCTCGTAAACTCTTGGCAGTTTGATACATGGGAGCTCCATATGCAGTGTTCAGGCAGTGTTTCTAATGTTTACAGTTCGTGACATCGACCCTCGTAAACTCCTGGCAGTTTGATACGTGGGGGTTCCATATGCAGTGTTTAGACAGTGTTTCGAATGTTTACAGTTCGTGACATGAACCCTCGTAAACTCTTGGCAGTTTGATACATGCGAGTTCCATATACAGTGACCAGGGAGTGTTTCTAATGTTTACAGTTCGTGACAGGGACCCTCGTAAATTCTTGGCAGTTTGATACATGGGAGTTCCATATGAAGTGTTCAGGCAGTGTTTCTAATGTTTACAGTTCGTGACAGGGACCCTCGTAAACTCTTGGCACTTTTATATATATGAGTTCCCAATGCAGTGTCAAGACAGTGCTTCTAATGTTTACAGTTCGTGACAGGGACCCTCGTAAACTCTGGGCAGTTTGATATATATTAGTTCCATATGCAGTGACCAGGCAGTGTTTCTAATGTTTACAGTTCGTGACATGGACCCTTGTAAACTCTTAGCAGAGTTCAGATATATTTCATGGTGTTGCAAAATCACTGGGAATGCCTCTCCAGAAATTAGTTCCGTATCGCAATTATTTCCGCAGTTATCCCAGAATAACATGGACCCTCGTAAACTCTTAGCAGAGTTCAGATATATTTCATGGTGTTGCAAAATCACTGGGAATGCCTCTCCAGAAATTAGTTCCGTATCGCAATTATTTCCGCAGTTATCCCAGAATAACATCGACATCGTCATATAGACATGTCATTATTTGTAATTAGCATCCTAAATTCGAAAAGCACAATTCGCATGTATGATAAATAATATAATGAATAGTGTTCTTTAACTACTCTTCGCAACATTAAATAAGAATATTGGGTTTCTTTATTTTGGGCAAATGTTTTGAGTCCATAACTGCAAAACATTGCATAATTATGTCGTGGTAACGAGTGAGTGAGTGTGTTTAGTTTTTCGCAATATTCCAGCAATATCACGGCGGGAGTCGACAGAAATGGGCACCTGAAAATTGGCTTCACACATTGTACCCATGTAGGGAATGGAACCCGGGTCTTCGGCGTGACGAGCAAACGCTTTAACCACCAGGCTACCCCACCGCCCCTACTATGGTAAATATTGAATATATCATAAACAAGGAAATTCAACAATGTGGATACTAGTGAATCGAGTCATCTTCATTTTCCCTGTCAACAGAAATTGGTTGTTCAACTGAAACGTGACAATGCATTGCAAACGTCAACGGGGAAGTGATTACTTTCGCGGCGGAAACTCCATCATATTGTCAGATATATTGACAGCCCCATCCAAGGGTTGTACAACGGAACCTATGCTGGACACTCTTCAATATGACACGACTGCGACTTGTCTGTCTGCTTCTCCTCTGTACCAAATACGGTGAGTGTAGTTCAACTATACGCTTGCATAAGTTATATTTGTTTGTTTGTTTGTTTATTTGTTAATTAACGCCGCACCTAGCAAATAGTCCAGCTATATGGCGGCGGTCTGTAAATAATAGAGTCCAGACCAGACAATCCAGTGATCAACATCATGAGCATCGATCTACCCAATTGGGATACGATGACATGTGTCAACCAAGTCAGCGAGCCTGACCACCCGATCCCGTTAGTCGCCACTTTCGACAAGCTTGGGTTACTGAAGACCAATTCTTACCAGGTTCTTCTCGGTTGCATATATAAGTAAGCCTTGATGGAGGCAGATAGTTCGCCCTAAAACGAGCAAAAGCATGTCCTGCTATACATCTGAATGAAAAGACATAGCTCCTCAAAGATTACGCACGTCAGTGGGCTGCGCGTGTATCATAATATTTAAGGAAGAATTGGTTTCCCCGAAAGTCAAACCCGTGAAGATCCGGGTTAGATTTTGTCTTCAGCAACCCATGTTTCTCAACGATTTCTCTTGTCAGTGACATATGCATGCATATTGTTATTCAATGAAGAATTGATCAGTGTCTTGAGGTCACACTCATACTATGTCTGCTATGTTCATGACGTGACTATTACAACGATCTTATTCATGAACATTAATTGAATTCCGTACAGAATTGAATTAGTATATTTAGCTTTTTGGATTTCTTGATATATTTTGAGAAAATTACCCAGTGTTTGCATACACTGGAATTTCAAGAATTCCTCGTGATAAAGGTTCAACGTCAAACTGCGTCCTTACGCTCAACGCTGTAGAACGCTTCTGACGACGCCTAAATGTGTATAATTGCTAATGAAAATCAGTTTCATGTGACCTGGTTCACGTCCGTTTAATGTTCTAAATTAGCATTAATTTTTAAAAGTTGTCACCATATTTTTCGTTCGAAATGAACATGCTTTCACCTGACTGCAATCGAAAGATCACAGCGCTAATGCCATACATGAATGGCAACAAATATAAATTATTTTTATATTTTCCTATGAACTTGTTTCATTAACAATAAATATTAGTGAAAGCAAAATTCTTGGGTGAAGATAAACACGTTATGTTTTAATCCTGTATTCGGTAAAAGAGTATCCTTGTCGTATGTCATTTGTATAATCTAGCAATTATCAATAACTACAGGTAAATCACATTAAATGGGATTTAAAATCGGGTTCATGATTATTCATTGATTATATGACCCACAGAAATACTATACCGCCGTTTAACATGGCTATACCACTTAGACATATTATACTCCGACCCGTACTTGCTTCAGGCGCAAAGACCAGTTTCGGTTTTGCCTGCTGATTACAGCATCATTTCCGCTATATAGCTGCGGCTTGTATTAACTTCATATATTAGCCTAACCTGACTACTAGATATGTTAGTAAATTAGACGCCCTTTGTATTGTTGCTATACCAACATTATTTGCACGGCACCATTCTAGCCACGAAACCTTATGAACTGCCAGATAGGTAACAGCAGTACCATGTTTTACGTCTTCTGATGTGAGAAGACCTGTTGGGATCGAACCAACGACATAGCGCTTACAGGCAGACGCTCTATCCACTACACCGCCTATTGCACCCTCGTGAAACTGATAGACATTTTTAAAATGCTTATGGGGCGGCGGGGTACCCTAGCGGGTAAACCGTTGGCTCGTCACGCCGATGACTCGGTTTCGATTCCCAACATGGGTACAATGTGTGAAGCCAATTTCTGATGTCCCCCGCCGTGATATTGCTGGAATATTGCTAAAAGCGGCGTTAAACCATACTCACTCACTCACTCACTATAAATGCGTATGTCATGATCTAACGCCAATAAGAAGAATGATGATGCTTATGCAGGCTTAAGACACTTATTACCACTTATAACACTTATGTACGAGCGACTACGACACTTACGAACGAGTATGACACTTACGAACGAGAATGACACTTGTGAGCGCTAGTGATCTTTATGAACGGGTATGATATTTGTGATCGTGAACGACACCTACGAGCGCTTATGGCATGTATAAGCGCTCATGAATGTTCATGATGTGTATGAACGCTTATGACGGCATAATTCCAATGAACGATTACGTTACTTTTGATACGATTGTAAACCCGTGAAGGTCCGGGTTAGAATATTGATCTTCAGTAACCCATGCTTGTCGTAAAGAGGCGACTAACGGGATGGGGTGGTCAGGCTCGCTGACTTGGTTGACACATGTCATCGGTTCCCAATTGCGCAGATCGATACTCATGTTGTTGATCACTTGATCGTCTGGTCCAGACTCGATTATTTACAGACCGCCGCCATATAGCTGGAATATTGCTGAGTGCGGCGTAAAACTAAACTCACTCACTCACTAATACGACTGTATACTTATGAACTTATGAATGACCACGAACGTCAGCATCAATTTAATATGACCCATGGAAACACGCCTCAGTGCGTGTTTAATTTTAAGTGTGTGTGTGTTTAGTTTTACGCCTCTTTTAGCAATATTCCAGCAGTGTTACAGGGGGCAGACGCTCTATCCACTACACTGCTTATTGCACGCTCGTGAAATTGATAGACATTTTCTAAATGCTTATGGGGCGGTGGGGTAGCCTGGCGGGTAAAGCGTCGGCTCGTCACGCCGATGACTCGGTATCGATTCCCCACATGGGTACAATGTGTGAAGCCCATGGTGTCCCCCGCCGTGAAATGGGCTTCACACATTGTGCCCATGTGGGGTATCGAACCCGGTTCTTCAGCATGACGAGCGAACGCCTTAACCACTAGGCTACCCCACCGCCTTAATTTAAGAAGATTTATATTTGTTATAGTTCTCATCATCTGTTTTTGTTTCTGTTTCAGCTTCTGGAGATTGCCCCGACACCGAAACAAATGGTATTGTGTCTAACTGTCCGAAACTTTGACTTCCTTTTTGAAATTCCTACACATATCTGCACATAATTATTGTTGCTCAGTCTGTTGACACGATCTCCCCTTAGATACGATCTTGTAAATTCGAAGACCCGTGAAGATCCGGGGTAGAATAGGACTTCAGCAACCCATGCTTGCCACAAAAGGCGACTATGCTTGTCGTAAGAGGCGACTAACGGGATCGGGTGGTCAGGCTCGCTGACTTGGTTGACACATGTCATCGGTTCCCAATTGCGCAGATCGATGCTCATATGCTGTTGATCACTTGATTGTCTGGTCCAGTGAGTGAGTGAGTTATTATTTAACGTCACTTCGGCAATATTGCAGCCATATCGTGACGAGAACATTTGACATGGAAATAGAATATATATAGATATTATAAAAACCTGCCGACGAAGGACAGTAAAACAACTAGAATATCACAATTTGAAGTAAAACTAGCGTAGAAAGTTAAAACAAATAGCACTATTTGGACAATACAATATAAAAAAGTGGCTAGAGATCGCCAACAACTGAAGGGAGATCACCATACTAGGGACCATGGGGACTTACATTACTTTTGCTACCTGCATGGACCCTAGCTGGATTTACACCATCCCTTCAGCCATTGGCGTTGATGCTGACATTAAGCCATACATTAAAAACACAACAATACTACGATTAAAAAACCTGGTACACTTAAATTGACTTACATACCCTCGCAGGAGGACAATAATTTTACGCTATGTCAACACCCTTTGAGGGTACAGCCACAAACAATCTCAGTTACTAATTCAAACTACCAATAATAAAATATATATCTATTTACAAATCACTTAACAAATCTAATTCCTTTAAAAATGCAATAATTAAATGAGAACTGACATTATTAAAAAGATCCTTCATAGTTTTTACTGTGAAATAGTTATCCCTTGTGATGGAATATTCAATGCAGTGAAGCAGGACATTGTCTGGTCCAGACACGATTATTTACAGACCGCCGCCATATAGCTGGAATATTGCTGAGTGCGGCGTAAAACTCAACTCACTCACTCACTCACTCGAAAACCTTGACTTCATGTTTACAACATCCATATATAATAATATGAGGGGCATGGCGTTCCCTTAAGTCTTGAATTCTATATGCGCCCCGGTAACGGAATATATTTCCGTCTACATATGATAGTAATTATTAGTCACATAATTCTCCATCAGGCGAGACCTATAGACCCCCAATTGGCCCCGATTTCCTAGAGGATACCTAATGAGAGTTCATATTAAGGGATGGGGTGGGTGGAAGTGGGTGTTTTTTCTACTGTCCCACTTTCAGTGCTGTTTCAATTTCAATTCCGCATCTTTCATGTTCATTCCTAATTCCTTAATTAAACCGTCTGTATACTGCAACTGCACCCGCGAAGTTCCGGGTTAGAGTTAATTGATCTTCAGTAACCCATGCTTGTCTTAAGAGGCGATTAACGGGATCGGGTGGTCAGGCTCGCTGACTTGGTTGACACAAGTCATCGTATCCCAATTGCGTAGATCGATGCTCAAGCTGTTGATCACTTGATTGTCTGGTCCAGACTCTATTATTTACGCCGTCATATAACTGGAATATTGCTGACAGGCGCGTAATAACAATTATGGTTAACACATGTTCGGGAATCACATTTTAGAGTTCACACAAACAAATCACCAAAAATGGTACCATTAAGATACCCCAAAGTCAGTATCGTGTGTGGCCTCTATGGGCATCGATGAAAGCGTTGCATCGTCTGTACATGGAATGACTTAGCCGGTGGCACTTGGGTCCATACTCTGATCGAGTCCAGCCGCAGTCGTCGGCCTTGGTTTGAGGCCATTCAGTCTTCTTTGAATCTCGTCCCAAAGGTGTTCTACTGGACTTAAATTCGGACTGAGTGCAGGGAATTGTAGGGTTTGGATGCCATGTTGTCTTAGGAAGTCCAATGTTGCTCTGGCAGTGTGGGCACGACCGTTGTCTTGCTGGAAGACGTGATTTCTGTAACGTCCAAAATGTGGTACAACGTGGGGTTTTATGATTTAATCAGCTGTCATGGCATTTCCTCATCCTGGACCAAGATTCTGGAACACCACGGTGTCAACTAACTGTTCAGACCGATTGCACCCCACACTATGATGCTTGGACCACCCCACTTGGTTCCTCTGATGTCTCGTAAGACGTGACATGGTGGTCGTGTCAAAACAAAAATGATTTCAGGCGAGCTTGGGACCCGCGTTCATTGATAGCGTTGTCACGACATGCACGTACATTTTCATTTTCACGAATGTCATACGCAACCTTTCACCATGTCTGCCTTTTTCAATCACTTTTTTTATAATTGCAAAACCTGTCTGAGTGAGGCGTAAAGCTAAACTCACTCATTCACTGTCATCACTTGCTTGATAACGGTGTAAGAAACTCTCACAGTAATAAAGCCCATCCATATATTGCTATTTTTCCGCACTGCTCCTTCTAAATGCCTCTCAAAGAAACTATCAACAGGTCATGTAATTTAACTTAGGTTATACTTTCTTTCAGTATTCAGAATCTGCCAACAGCCCTCGTCCCTCTTCAGAGGCAAGTCGGGAAGCCTGTTTGTGAGCCCCGACGATGTTGTCCGCCTGGTATCCTGCAGGTGTACCATTGAGGGAAATACGACCAACATATTCAATCTTATACGTAACAAATTTGACAATGCCAACCCGTTCAACTACACCATAAATAACGGCTCCCAGTTTCTCAGATATGATGAGGAGACGAAACTCCTCCAATTTCCCTCATTCAATACGAAGAACATCACCTTGGCGCTGGAACGTAAAAGGAACACTTCAGAAAGGAATACCAACCATAGGATCTGTTTCGATTTCCAGGGTAGGTTATTCCGAAGTAGTAGCAGCCTGCATGCACAAGGAGACATCGGAAGACATGAAACCACAGGCCCTCGTGTCTTTGCGAGGATTAATGGTTACAAAAAAGTTTCTTAGATGACTCCCGACTCGAAATGCTTAACAGTACAATAAATCATGATTACAGATTTAAAAAAAACATTTTTGAGATGACATCTCAAAATATTTTTTTGAAACTTTTAATCCTTGCAAAGACACGAGGGCCTGTGCATGAAACACCCACAAACTGTTGACATATATTCGTGTTTGTGCTGGACCTTTCGTACTAATGAACCGATAACAAGGAAATGTTTGAACACGGATGACGTATCTTTCACAGTTTAGCGATGTTTAACGTCATTTAGTTGCACAACTTTCAAGTGAAATTTGGTAATTGAAACAGGTTGATCCCCTTATGGTTTAAATCACACTTGGCGGTTTGTTTTCCTGTTTCAGTGAATAATAAAGAATTTGTGACGATTGACTGTAAAGCATCTTTAATTAAGGAAGAGGATCCACTGACCCAAGAAAAGCCAGGTTAGTATGAGCTGTTTCTATTTTCTATGGCCCGTAAGCGTAAAGATGGAATACGCCCACCTTGACACAGGCATTAGTAACATAATATTCATGTTTTCTGTCAGGAAAACATTCCAGCTTGATACTATACCCCGCTGTCTTGTTTCAGCGTCTCTCGGGGTCATCCTGGGTTCTGCGTTCACTGTCTTCATCCTCATAGACATCGCCATATTTGCAGGCATCTATATTCTGTGAGTATCATCGCGGAACTGTTAATGTGGGTTCACTGGCATATATAATTAAATCTATGATACCATAGGCTAGCGGACAAATCATTAGTGGATAGCATGGATCAATATTCGCAACTGCAGTGTAAATCAGTCAGGTGAAACATTATTGGTACTATGAAATAACTTTAGGGACCTGGGGGCCAGTTACTACATGGGTCTTGGCAAATAGCGATATGGAAATTATGTTAATGACGATTTTCAACAAAAGTTAATTGTATGGATTTTAGTATCGACTTTTGGATTACTTCGAAGTATGTTTCTAGCCATGATCGAGATATCACTGCCTTGTGTGTATGTGTGTGTGTGTTGCTGGGATTTTGTGTGTGTGTGTGTGTGTGCGTGCGTGCGTGCGCGCGCGCGCGCTGGGGTGTTGCTGATTTTTTCCTGAGGAGCATTTCCACCTAACGTTTGGACTTCATGATATATATGCAAATTCATTTTACAGTGTAAAACGACGCATCCTAAATACATCACTACTCCGACCTCGTGTCACCGTCACCGCCGACAAGAACGATATCTCCTGCAGGCGGGCGAACACGGGGAATACTTATGTTGGAATAACGCCGTCCAGCGAATATGAACCTTCTGAAGTCAATGACGTCATGGGTGAATACGAGACAGCAGAGCCAGAACCCTTCAAACCGCCGAGACCATTGCTTCCGGGAGCGAAACCGAAGTCTTGGTTTCAGTTTAAACGATCTCCAAAGGTCAAGTTCTCTGTGGCGCAACACCAGCCACCAGACAATGAATACGAAGATTTCACTCAATCGCCTGAGGTCAAGGCACATCAACCCGTGGCATCATTTGAACCTGATTCCTACGAAAATTTAAGTGAACCCACAAAGATCCTCAAAACTCAACCCGGCGGTCAAACTGACAGACTGAGGCAGAAGCCTCAAGTTGCTCTAAAACCGAGTGCTAAGAAGGCAGTGAAGTCTGTTCCTAAGGACGACTGGGTTCCTGCTGATGAATACGAAGAGGTTGAAGTGTCACAGGTACCAAGAGAGCAATATGCCAAGAATCCTAAAGGCTATGCGGATATGAGCACCACGACAAAGCCCAGTCAAGGTCAAACTGACAGCCCAGGAACGAAACCCACGGAATGTTATGAAGAAATGGAGGCCGCTTCACCCATCAATAAGTTGAACATGAAAACTCAAGCTGGTTCAAATGTACGAACAGGATCCCCTAACCGGAACAGATCCCCGAAGGTAAAAAGTCCCGCTGCTAACAGTGTGGTAAAAACACCAGTCAAACCTGTTCAAGGGAAGGTCGTACCTGCAGTTGTGCCCACTGAGATGTATGACAACATGGAGATGTTCCCAGCACGAAAGGAAAGAGTACCCAGTGATAGAGGTGGTGATCGCCAAGCTACCCCGAGAAGGCAGCGAACCAGGACAGAGGTGCATGCTCCTACCCAGACGTACGACAACTTTGATCCGATCGCAGAGATGAGGAGAATTGCTAGAGCAGAGAGTCTTCGGAAGGGGACTTCCCGACGGGATGCTGGTGTCAATAGGGAGTAGGTGTCTGGGCCCCGATCCACAAAACAGTCGTAGCGCTACGACATTCGTAAGCTTACGAGAAACGATAGAGTTACGACAGGTCGTAACGTTGCGAAAGCTTTAAAGGTGTCGAGGAGATGAAGACGTTAGCAAGCTGATGATATCAGAATATAGACTGGATGTGCCAATAAATGGATTGTGCCAGTGAACAGGAAGTTTCCGTGTAAAACGGACCGTCCAACCTTCAACAACATCGGATATACTGGACTATGCAATTTGTTATTGTGGTGTTTAGTGTGAACTGGTTCCACGATTGGTATGCGTGGTGTTCATAGAACCTTTAACAACAGACATTGGTAACATATGCACGAATATCGTCCTGAATTGTGGACTTTTTGAACATCGAAACATGCTTTAAAAGATCAACAATACAACAAAGGTCAATGTCGATGTTACTCTTACCTATCTTTCCACGTAGTCCGCTATATGCCTCTATTTGGTATTTACCAGTGTTACGAGTCTTCCAACAAAACTAACGAGCTTGTTTATGCTTTTAAGCGAACAGCAACTTAATCTATGTGGCCAAATACTATGCATTTCAATGTACGGCGAAACCGCATTATCAGTGGTTCGAGTTTCGAAGGGAGCTAACTCTAGATACAGATTAGAGGTATGCTGAGAAAGTGATGAATGCGTCCTCAATTACTCGAATCACCATTAAAGCTGAAATGTGGACCCACTTATCTTTTTCTCTTTAGAGACTTTTGTGAGTGGCCCACATTTTTTTATAAATGCGTAAAACTACAAATCAAGCATTTACAAAAACGTGTTGACTATGGAATCCTGGAAGGGACATTGTCGGTTAAATGGCCGAAATGTCGCGTTATCGCATTGTCGCGCTTTGGTTAATTTTGCCTCTTTTTGCTTGTTTTTAAGAGGGTGACAACGCGACAATGCGACAACGCGACAATGTCCCTTCCAGGATTCCATAGTTGACTGTAGCTATGCAAAAGATCGAAAAACGACTTCACCAACACAAGTGTATGCATCAAAGTAGACAGAAATGTGGGCCCACTTTTAAAAATTAAACTGATTATCTTTCCGTTCAAAATCAACAATTGAAAAACATTTGAAGTGAGAAAACAACGAACATACGCGTAAAGATTTTATTCAATGAAGACAAAAAGACGCAGCATATTATTTTACCCAGACATGTGTAAGGCCCAGAGCAGCTGTCACTGGGCAATGACTGACATCAGTAGCAATTACATATATCACCTTTTGTATTTCATTTTTTCAATGAAATCTATCACTTTTCGCCAGTGATAAAAAATGCAGTTTTATGGAAATTCTGTTTCATCTAATTTGAAAACAACAATGGGTTACTCTGAAGCTGACGAGATTCTTCAGAGTTTAAATTAACGTAATATTGTCGAAACCTTGCCATGCCCCATAATTACGACACGATAATATTGCCATAGGACGCTTAAAGTTGAAATTCGGTGATTAGCATATGACCCCAATATATGACATCAAAGGTCAAATCTCAGCCAATGGCGTCAAAGATATCGTGTGAACCGTTCCGCAAAAGGAAAACACTCATGAATATTAATGACTCAATCAATCAACACTTTATTTCCGTACAAAGGCCATCGGGCCCATATACATACAGTTTCATACATTATAATACAATTTGCATATATGTATACACGCCCATCTGCATACATGTATACAGGTAATCTGAACACACAATACTGGTTAATATGGATAAAGTAGATAAAGATATGATATGATAATACAAAAGTATAATATGGTATTTAATATTATCATTCTTGTAATAGCTTACATCTTCGTTCATAAGAATGCATTATATATAGGCTGAGCATTTTCAAACTATGTACGTTATTTGTCATAAGACCAAGTTTCGAGGCACAAGTACTCGTGTCGTTTGCCATTATTTTACCTAGTAGTAACTATTTCCTGCATTTTGTATCAACAAATAACACTTCGATTGTATTTATAAGTTACTTTATTTATTTCGTCAGATATCTGTGAGTTCTTGTCTCCAAATTTTCAAATGTTGTTTAGTTTCGAATGGGGGCCAACATTCGCATGTCCAATGTAGTGAGAGAGAGAGAGTAACCTCCCTTGAACCACGGATAATGCGGTTTCGCCGAATGTAGGCCTGTTATAATACCCGTAGAGACATTTTGCTAATGTGTATGTACATTTAACAAAATAAGTTTGAAAATTAAGGGATGTACTTACCCGGTTTCAGCTCATATCAAAATTGATGCCATGCAAGCTGACATTGTGTTACCAACCGATAATTATATGGCGCTTCAGTGAATTGAATTTTAATTGATATTGAAAAGGACAAGGTACTGTATATAATTTGTTGACGCAGCCATGATATGCAGTGGCGGGTCTGAAAATCTCATATCAACCCTAGGGCACTGAGCAATACGCACTAGCAATACTGATAACCTAGTGTCAACCTTCAACTGAAGCTTATTAGACTATAGCATATTGTACATAGTTCATCAAAATGTCTTTTGTTGGCAGCTTCTATATAATATTTGTTGCATTACCCCGAGTGTTATCACGTGTCATGTGTTTTATAGTGTTATTTACTGTTCTGATTTTAGTTTCTGAATACGTTTATAGTCCAATCTCATTATATGTACAGATAAATGCGTGTAATTTACTTAGGCCTAAAAAAATGTGGTTCCGATTAACCGACCGACCCTTGAATTCTGGTGCCTACCCTATTCTTTTTAAGCGAAATGAATAAAGTAAGCTTTCAGATACCATTGTTTTTTCCTGGCACCGACAGACATTGGTCATTCTGATAGAGAAAGTCGATATGATGGCCGCAAGCTTGATTGAATAAACACATTACACATTGATAAATGTCTTATTAGTTTATACTTTACTTCTAAAAAAATTATGTAAGAAAAAAAATTCTACCTGCCTACCCTAAATTTTAAAGATGTGTAATCGGAACCAAAACATTTTTTTTTTTTGCCTTATAATATGCAGTCGGCAGTATCACTAACCAGTAAGTGATCAAGGCTATTAATTAATAAACTGGATGGTGTGGGTAGCCTAGTGGTTACAGCGTTCGCTCGTCACGCCAAAGACTCATTTTCGATTCTCTCCATGGTGCAATGTGTGAAGCCCATTTTCAGGTGCCCCCAGATTTGCTTAAGTCGAATTAAAACCAAACACACTCACTCACTCAAAAAGCTGCATGTATAGCAAACCGCATTCTGAGAAGTCATTTGTATTGATCTTTGGTCATTAATTACAAACATTAAGGTACATTATGTCATCTTGTAATTTATTTTCCAACAATAAAATATTTGTCTTTGTCATCGTGACATTCTTTTTTGAAACGATAGAGATAGATGGACAAGTTCAAATAATTAAATAATACCTAATCATATTTATAATATTTATAATGATATTTATCAGTTTATTTGATCATTTTACACGTGATAGGACCTCAGCTTTGCACAGAGAACTACAGTTCCTGATACAGTTAGAGATCCACCCCTAGGCCTACTTTTTCTTTATTGTATTGTAATCGGTTACACCTTCGTGGGTTGTCCGTCAAGACGTAAGGTAACTTTACGACGATGTCGCAATCGCCACAAAGGGTGGACTTTTCAACTGCTAGTGACTCACAATATGAAGCAATAAATATGAAAGATATGTTTTCCCGCGTGAGCGGACTTCTCATTGTAAACTACTTTACAGACTGAAATTGATCTGTATCATAAATAACTCGGCTCAACTCAACTTCTGTATTGTGCATTGTTAGTTTCTGCATTGTGTACGGCTGCAATGTTAGATGTCGGCATAGTGAATGTGCAGGACGTCTCACACATCAACTTCCGACAGAAAGCGGAACAAAGTAGTCACTTCATAGTTTCAGTTTCCGTGCATCACTTTACCGTATGTAGCCACGTTTGACCATGTTCTTGTTGAGTGTCCCAGATGAATGTTCGTTTTTAATAATCATGTTGAATGTTGCCGTTGAATTGTCTTGTTGAATGGTCTTTTAGCATGCCCTTTGTAAATGGTCTTGCTGAATGTTCGTGTTAAATGTTCCTGCTGAACGTTCATGTTGAATGTTCGTTCCTGCGAACTTCTTCCCATTTATGTAGTGGACCGTGGAGATGATGGTTGTATGTACGAACATAGATGGATGTGGTTGGTAGTAACGCAGTATGGATTGCCTCACTAACCCGGAATATCAAAACACCTATCATCAAAATTAAAAAAATATTATATTTAAAGAATACTGATCATAACTGTTCTTTTTTATGAATCTGTACAGATTGGATGTCCGCAGAGACCTCTCGGTCGTGAGCGAGGCGATTTAGTCTACGTAAAATAAGAGACAGGAACTTAATTAAATCAAATATTTATTTATGAAAATTCTGATCAAAGGACAAAGGCCTAAACATTTGCCCCCAAACACATCCACCTACATAGCATTGTCGTCACTTCTCCTGGACCAGGGCGGTGGGGTAGCCTAGTGGTTAAAGCGTTGGCTCGTCACGCCGAAGACCCGGGTTCGATTCTCCACATGGGCACAATGTGTTAAGCCCATTTCTGGTGTCCCCCGCCGTGATATTGCTGGAATATTGCTAAAAGCGGCGTAAAACTAAACTCAGTCAGTCAGTCAGTCTCCTGGACCAGGGGATATTTCTCGTGAGTGAAATACTACTTTGTCTCCTACACCCAATATACACCAAGAGTTATGCTTTATGTGACATCCATGGGTCCTATATGTAATATCATTGATATGTCCCCAACTTCATGAATGTGAACATGTCATATTGGTGTGTCGTTCTTCCAGCAGACATGACTCCCTCTTATGGCGAGGAATGGTGCAGTCATGCAATGGACCCCACTCTGACGCATTATATAGTGCCGACCAGCCCGTGTTTCACCCTGACAAATGTAATCTCTTGCCGTCGTTTGGTATTGTCAATCAGGCCAAGGGATCAACCACATACCTCTCGTTCTCCAGACAAGCGCTCCTACCACTACGTCATCCTACTGTAGTTACATTTAATAATCAAATAATTTATGTCGACAAACTTTGAAAGGCATACACGTTGTGTCGAAGTAACGTAGAAATTCTAGAAACGTAGTGGAAAGTCCACTGATCTGGTTGTTTGTTTAACGCCGCACACGGTCTGGTCGTCTCTCACGACAAGCATGAGTTGCTGAAGATCACTTCAAAGCCAGATCTTCACGGGTCACCCACTTGCAATGGACGGTGCTACTGAAACGACCAATACCAGTTCAAATGGCCAACCGTGTACAATTTCAGCTATAATTCGTCCAAGAGCCAGCATATACACAATAAACAGTATTCTGACTCACCGAGAGAGAGGCAACTGCTGTCATGAGAATGAAAGCAGGACGTTCTACTTCATAATTAGCACATGTCCTTGCATGTATTTATTACAATATACTTCCTGAGTTCTGTCAAACCTTTGTGGAATTTCACAACAATTTGGCTTTTGACATAAACCGGTGAAGATCCGGGTTAGAAATGGTCTTGAGCCACCCATGCTTGTCGTAAGAGGCGACTAACTGGATCGGGTGGTTAGGCTCAACATGTCATCGTATCCCAGTTGCGTAGATCGATGCTCATGTTGTTGATCACTAGATTGTCTGATCCAGAGACGATTATTTACAGACGGCCATATAACTCAAATATTGCTGAGTGCGGCGTTAAATAACAAACAACCAACTTACCAACGTTTGACATATGGGTTTAATGCCAACGGATAAACTTGTGAGTATGTGTACATGCATGCAAGAACGATTAAAAAAGACTCGTAGAAATTCGCGTTCACGGTTTATTTATTTTGCATGAAATGGTGGAGAGCAAACCCTCCTTATCGCATTGTAGATGGTTGTTGTATTGTTGTGAGTATCTCATCCAGAGCTCTAGTGTTGAATTTGCCGTTCACACCTCACACACCTGTGAAGGTATATGTGCAACATTAACTTACACATACTCAGTTCAATGCATTAAGTTATATAATTCATGTGAAGAATAATGAGTGATTCAAGTTGCCGTATTCAACAACGATGACACAATATGTATTACAATCTGACCAGTTTAGTTTAGAATAGACTCTAATTACTATAATTAGCTTTTAATGGACCATAGTACATGAAGATCCGTGTCAGAACGAACAACTAGGTAGAAGTCAATGAAGGCAATGAAAGCAATGAAATTATGGTTCGATATACCAGCCGTCACCAACGATAAAACTTCAAAGTGAGACACTCGGGTAGCTGACTACGAAAACATACGGTGGTTTTAGTGGAAAACCAGTGGTGAACAGTATTAAAGGTTCAGTGTCACATAAAATAGGTGAGATATCTGAGAACTCGCTACAGTCACCGTGTTCTTGTGATCCACAAAACAATATATAGGCACCGTCCTCAGTGTCTTCCTCATCGCATTGGTAAAACTTAGTGATCTAACGGGGTATATCAATGAATACCTCAACAAAGAAATCAAAATTACAAAATATCTGGTTTGGTTTGGTACTTTACAAGTCAACAAAATACTGCAAAGAGACATATCTATTTATGTATTATGAAAAATACAATTCCAAGTTTTAATTAGCTATATTAAAACCTTAAAATTCATCTTCCTTGCAGAAAAATGTATTTCTGAAAGAAACAATGACATGGACAATGTTTCCTTTCATCCCTTATCTCAATCTCTGACTGTATTCAGCCAACCTATAGAAGCTTGTCATGTGTATCAACCTATTTTATGTACTACTGAGGTAAAATCTGCAAACATGTAACACTTCATATACAGGCTTAGTTTGACCGTTTTACATATTTGTGAACAGCAGGATATTTGACAATGTGATTAAGGAAACACTGTACTTGCATACTATGAAGCTACCTGTACTGTACTGTACTACTGAGGTAAAGTCTGTAAACATAATTCTGGGAATAAAAATATAAAAAGCAAAAAACCACAACTTATTTACTTGTATTTTGTTTTTGTTGGTATAATGGGTTTGTAAGTATGTATCTATGTAAATGAATTAAGAAATACGCAATAGTGCCACAACTGCGTCCTAGTTAACAGTTTACGAAAGGTTTTTATAGCATTGATATTATATCGCATAAACACTGAGGAATGAAAATATAAACAAAGAGAGCTATGCCAGATTATACGCGAAGAAAAAACAGGTCACGACATACTGTAACTTTTAATCAAGTGAGCTAACATTCAATTTACTTACCTCGGTGCTCTGCATATGAACACCACAACTACTGCCGCAAAAGCCAGGACACAAGCCAGTCCGGACAGGAATGAAGTGATCAGTGATATGTCTGGAAATGACGTCAATTCCCATGACATTGTAAGAAATCAAAGCCAATACTTCAACATGACGGACAAGGCGCCAGTGTGTAGATGGAAATTAGAATAAACTCATGGAATTAATTTATTCATTATTGCCTTATAGGTATGTTCCTTGCAATTTGAAATAGTTTCTTAATATGGTATGAACTAAACTACATGTATTACGGTTTAGAGAAATGCAATTTATGGTTTAGATAACAGGTTGTGTAATACATACTTGATGTCTCAGACTTGCTCAGTTCCATGTCAGAAGAATGGCAAACAATGGATAATCTTGATGCTAATGGTAACAAAAAATAACACAGGTTAATGTGACATAAGGAACTATTTGCAGCGCGAGATTCAGATATCCACACCCAATGGGGCAGGTTAATGGCACAGGTTAATGGCACAGGTTAATGGCACATCAAAAGGGCGAGATTCGGCCTATAAATAACCGAGTCAGTGAGACAGGGTTTAGCAACATAGTAGCAAGGAAAAACTAGCATTGCAACATAGTAACTAGGAATAGAGGTACTGCAACATAGAAGCAAAAACTATTAGCATTGTAAGATAGTAGCTAGGAATAGAGGAACTGCAACACAGTAGCGAAGAACAGAAGCATTGCAACATAGTTACTATGAACAGAGGAATTGCAACATAGTTACTATTAAGAGAGGAATTACAACACAGTAGCTGAGAATAGGAGCATTGCAACAGTAACTGGGAAAAGAGGAACTGCAACACAGTAGCTCAAATAGGAGCATTTCAACGTAGTACCTCGCTGCAGAGGTGTGGCAACATGGCTAGGAAACAGCATTGCAACATAGTAACTAGGAATAGAAGCAATGCAACACAGTAGCTATGAGTGGAGGATTTGTAGCACTGAAGTAAGGATCAAAAGCATTATAATATACTGCCAAAGAATAAGGACATAAACTATTCTAGCTAGAAATGGGAGCCTTGCACCAGCATATTTGGGTATGCAACATAATTGTTAGGAATGTGGGCACTATAACATAGTAGATAGGGACAATAGTAATGTAGCATGGTAGCGAGGAATAGCTGTTTACACACAGCTGCTAAGAAGGGTTATTGCAACGGGATTTTAGAGGATAGGGCCTGGAGCATTGCAACATATTATCTGGGAATATGCACATTGCAACATTATAAAAATAAGGGCATGGAAGTTTCACAGAATAAAGTTTAAATGGCAGCCTGACATCGCTACAGCAACATAATAGGAACATTGCAATTCAATCACTGATACTTTAACAAAGAATAGGGGTAACTCAGCATAGTAGGCTGTGAATAAACGTTGTGCAACATATCAGATTAAAATAGGAACATTTTAACAGAATACATTACTTGTGTTACTTGTAATTGCAACATAAAATGTACTCGTAAGTGAAGTTCTTTGCAATATTAGCTGAGAATATGGATATTAGTATTGTAATATTGTCGCTTGGAAGTAAGAAATTGCAAATCAGTTCTTTCATAGTTGTAATAAACTGAGCTCCGATTCTTTCATACGCAAACATCATTTTCCACATATATGATAACGCACTGTGTCACGATAGATCAGCTGCAATGCATCCATGGATACATATATACTCGTATATGTACTTATTACGAACCGTCCTGTATATTCTTATATACCCACCTTCATTCTTAACTTCATAGGAGAAACATAATCCTTGAATTGCTGCACGTTCTGTTTCAAGATTAGCCTTCGACAGGTACACGGTCCAAGGCATCTGTTTAGATATGATGTCGTTCCAGTGTCCGTGTCTGCCTGTGATGTTGCCACCGCCACCTCTTGCAACGTGGAAGACGAAGTCATATGTTGCGTTGTGTCCGGTCGTCGAATACTGCACATCCATCGTATCTTTCTGGTCTGTCGAAAGGCTGCATTTGCACCACTCCGGCGAGGTGGACATGTTGTATGTGAGAAAGCCTGACGGGCGGTTATCGGAGCTACGTTCGCAGAGTGAGATGGCTGCAAGCAGAAACACCTTATCCTTTGCCTACTGGATTATAATAATAATAAGTCATCTTCTATAGCACACAGTGTCCAAACACCAAGTGTTTGCTCGCGGCGCTTAGTCAGAATCTGACTCTTATTACCCCGGATAACCCATGCTGCCTGTTAGGCGCTAGAAGGTTACAGTCACATGACTTTATCCAACAGGGTACCCATTTTCTGCTGGGTGAACAGAGGCAATTTTGAACAAACTCACTTGCCTAAGGAGAGACCATATGTATCACATGTGCTTCGTTGTGGGGCTGCCAAACACGGTCACCCATCCAAGATCTGTCCGAGCTCGACGTTGCTTAACCTCAACTGAGTTTTGACCTGGGTGCCGTTGTACAAAACAACCTTAGCACTAAGACTACTTTAAGTCTATGTTAAGGTATGGGAGTTACGGCCACCTTAGCGCTAAGATCGCTTTGAACAACGGCACCCTGAACTCTATGCAGAGACCACACGCCACCAGTTATCTTTCGATCATGATCTCAAAGCCTTCTCATTTATAGCCAGTCCTGTGCACAGGAACACAAAGATACTACTCACAAAATGCCTGATTGTTTCATATGACCAATAAGTACATGCATTAATACCTTAACATCAAGGCAAGAATGTATGTGGGACAATCATGTTTGTGACTTCATGTCAAGGTAAGAATGTATGTGGTACAATCTGAATAGCAATAGCTAATGTGGGACAATGATATCTTAATATCACGAATCTCAGTCCACTGACACATGAAAATCCCAATTGTGTGACCCTTTCTGTTCCGAATACAAACCGAGTGTGTTAGCATATATGTCGTTTCACTGAAAAACATTCAGCTGATTTGATTCACTGCCATTTTTTAATTATTTATTTTTTTATTTATAATTATTAATCATACCACGCGTGTCAGCTTGTTATGTCAGAACAGGTCCTAAAAAAATAATTTTGAGAACCCAATGAAACAAAACCATGGTGCTGACTAGAATCAGGCCACTGTTGGATCCAAAGCCATATTTTTAGATGTTGCTACGGATAAGGGAAGCCTGTCCATACAGTTACAGGACGACAAAAAACAAACTTTACATATATAAAAAAGGAGTTATTTACATCTGAAAAGGGAAATTAACCATCGATGGGTTTCAAATTAAGATACGTCAAATGGTGGATAATAAAACAACAATATGAAATTGAAATATTTATCATCAATTTTCTGCATGTTATTAATTTGAAATATCCAAGCGTGTTTCGCTACATTGTAAATGTACATGTAAATACACACATCTATTTGCAGACGCTTGTGATAAGTACAATCTTTCACTGTGCATATACCTCTTTTGTTTCTCTCACATGGCTGCGTGACGCTTTGTGTTGAACCTAAAATGAAATAAAAATTCGTTGAACTTTTAATACATATACGGTAACATATGCTTTAACTATGTTGAACATTTCTAATTGACTATTACCGTTATATAAGTCTAACCACGTAACCGACGTCAGACCGTGTGTTGTTTTCATAACTTTCGTATGTTTTTACACCGGTGCTAGGTTACGAAGACAGGAAAAAAGAACGGAATTCAAAGTCACGCATCTATACCCAGATCTTACGTACTGTGAAAACAGTATCCCTTTTAAGCATTCTACACTCAGGAAATACACTCGCATACGGAAGTAAGTTCCAACATTCGACACGGAGTCCATGTTTAAGCTCTGAACACGTTGAAGTACGGGGAAGTGGTTTGTGAGTAAGTGTGGGTTCATGCCGTTTGCAGCAATATTCCAGCAATACCAAGGCAGAGGACACCAAGAATAGGCTTCACATTTTACAAATTAGGGTGGGGGTCTCGCGTGTGTGTGTGTGTGTGTGTGTGTGTGTGTGTGTGTGTGTGTACACACACAAACCCGTCCTTCAGAGTGATCAAAGAACAAATGATTGAGCCACTACGCCCTCCTGCTGTCCCCGAAATATATCATACCTCTATTTATGAGCACATGTGAGTTTAGAAACAAACTGTCCGCATCTTTGACACCATTGAATTCTTGAGCTCAGATGTCAAATGACGAACCGCAGCTGTTACGCATCTCGTGTATTGATCAGGATGGTTTACGTTTTACATCCCCAATAGTCAGACAGAACAGAAACAACAAGATAAGTAAGCCCCTGTTCACAGTTAAATTGTATTGCATGCAAGTTATGTCAAGCAAGCGACAGGTGTACTACCTCTGATGTTTCCACACAAGATGCTAGTCAGGAACACGAACACAGCAGGACCGGACGTAGTCATTGGTGCCATGAAAATATCTGAAAGAGGAGTTATACCTAAATCAATTCACGCCTTTCAGTTTTTATAGATATTGATTATCATACATTAACAAATACATCACGGAAATCAAGGACAGTAAATTAAGTATTTGACTATAGTGATAGTCCCTAGAAACTTATTTGTGTCTTACGAAGAAAGTGCCATGGGGCTTTTGCGAGTCAGCACAATGGGCGTTTTATGAGTGAGTGAGTTCAGTTTATTCCAACTACAGACCCGTGCCAGATATATTCATGAAATTTGAGAAAGTGGTCAAATGTAACATATGTTATATTTGGGATTACACATTTTTTAGTAAAGTACAGATTCTAGTACTTTTGGGTTGAGTCCCATCCGGGATTCGAATCCACACCCTCAGAGTCAGGCACCAAATCGCCAGCACACAAAGTCAGACGCCTAGACCGCTCAGCCACCGCGGCTTCCACACAAATGGAAGTCGGACAACTGGTTGTCTAGACTGCGGACTTTGTATTTGACAGGCAAATTTGAAATCATCTCTGCTCTGCGCACATAATTTAGGTTCAGTTTTCCGACCACTATTTAACTAATGACATTAAACAGAAATTATGTGATTGCAGGTAAGATGATTCCTCACAAATGTGCAAACTTTGACTTGGAGCTTACGAAAATTAAATTTATGAACATTATTTACGCCATACTAAATTAACATGTAAGTCTATGGAAGAACGTCAAATGTCTGTAAGTAATCGACTCTGGACCAGACAATCCAGTGACCCGGGCGTTTTATATTTGTTGCTTCTAAGGGCCTCATACAACAGTAGCCCCGTCATCATGACGTATATTGGTTGAAACAGTGCCTCTTGCAGAGTTGCGTCCCTTGGGCACGCCAGGAATCTACGATTGTAGATTCGAAATCATAGTGAGTGACTGAGTGAGTGGGTGAGTGAGTTTTGGTTTTACGCCGCTTTTAACAATATTCCAGCTGGGGACACAATAAATGGGCTTTACTCATTGTACCCATGTGGGGAATCGAACCCGGGTTTTCGGCGTGACGACCGAACGCTTAAACCACTATGCTACCCCACCGCCCCCTCGAAGTCATACCTGTAATCTCACGGTAAGTGGAATACTGTTAAACGAGGTAGGCAATTGCAAGGTGATTAATCTGACTGGCAAACTCTACTAGGTATATGTGAGAAGTGTTGCGTCCTTTGGGAACGCTAGGAATCTATGATTGTGGATTCGAAATCACACCCGTACCAGTAATACAACTGGAATGCTGTTAAACGAAGCGGGAAACCTCACTCACTCACTCACTCACCCACCCTCGTACCAGTAATACAACTGGTATACTGTTAAACGAAGCGGGAAACCTCACTCACTCACTCACTCACTCCCCCACCCTCGTACCAGTAATACAAGTGGAATACTGTTAAACGAAGCGGGAAGCCTCACTCACTCACTCTCTTACGGGAGCTTGTTGTACTGTGTTATAGTTTCATATCCAGCTGAAGGGGGGGATTTGACGAACTCGCTTTAGGATAAGGGCGGTGGGGGTAGCCTAGTGGTTAAAGTGTTCGTCCTGTCGAATAACTGGGTTCTAATCCCCACATGGGTACAACGTGTGGAACCCATCTCTGGTGTCCCCCCGCCGTAGTATTGCCGGAATATTGCGAAAAGCGGCGTAAAACCATACTCACTCAGTCCTTTGGATAACGATTGCTTACACCTCAGCGATCTAAACTTCAAGTTTAAATGTACATTTCTGAGTGTCAATGTATTTACATTTATGCCAGGTGACAATGGTTAAACTCACGGGGCATTTATGTTAGTGTACGGGGCACTTGTATCCATTCTGTTATGTTCGATGTCACACGGAGTCATATGTATATTTATCACATTCATATGAAAACAAAAAATTCTTTGGCGAGCATTTATAAATCAAAGCCCATGCCAAGCATGTTTTGACTTAGTAGGCGGTCGTGCATAACACATTGCCTGGTTTAGCAGAATAAGGATGTTAGAAATATGAAACCTGGCTTAACTGGTCCGCAACTGTTTCCACTGTCGTTATATTAATGCTCAAAATTCAGTTGAGCGTGCAGAAATGTCTAACATAGCATATACGGTAAGAAGATATTGTTCATGTCGCATGTTGCAAATCTTCCACATGCACTGACCAACAACATTGACATTTGAACAGCTATAACAGTAGTGAGTGAGAGAGAAAGTGAGTGAGTATGATTTTACGCCGCTTTTAGCAATATTCCAGCAATATCACGGCGGAGACACCAGAAGTGAGGTTCACACGTTGCATCCATGTGTGGAATCGAACCCGGGTCTTCTTCGTGACGATCGAACGCTTTCACCACTAGGCTACCCCACCGCTCGCTCTAACGTAACACCCCTCTAACCTCAATGTATGATGTAGAGCTGGGTGGTTCGTAAACCTGCCAACATGTATGTTCGGTGTTTTCACTTAAAAAGATAACCGCTGCGATCAAAACATTCCTTCTTGCCTTAACACTGAGATTCAGCTGAATTACTCAGTGACTTATAATGCTTAGTCAGCAATCCAAACCCGTGTCGATGTGAAAGTGACTGAATCACTTGACTTTCCGCCTTTGTTAGTTAACATTAGGTCTCTTGTTACATGACAACTTTGTGAGTGCAGGGATCCATTATGATATTCGTACTGAATTACATCCCTAAGAATATATCCCCCGTTAACAAGGTAAAGGAACAAGACTAAACCAGGAATATGATCATATCTATCATCATGATAACGTTAGACGAAGAAGGTGTACTTACGATGACCGCTCGCCTGCCAAGCCCTGCAGCCACTGACGTCAGACAAGGAAGATTCTCTCCCAACGCTATTTCTTGCTCGAGTTTATTAAATACAATGGGATCAGTCGAAACAGTTGCGGTCTACAGGCAAATATTCAGTTAAGAATAACTGCACAACCTGAAAGCAGAAGTTCTATTTTGACGTGTATTTGAGTAGCTCACTGGGGGTAAATCACTGGTAGAAATAACCCGGACGATACCACTTCTAGGAATGGAAATAAATATAATCTGTCCCTTGGAGATCCGGTTTATTTCAAATGGCTCTTTTGTTTGTTTGGACATATTTTATTCAGTATTGAAAGAGATTGGGCACAAGCTATTCAATGCATTAAAATCCTCCCCCGACAATTACATGGAAAAGATACATGTAATGGACAAAGGACAGAGGCAAGACATATTTATATATTTATTGAAACGCTTACCAAGTACAATGAATCTATGGACTTGACTAAAATTATTTTCATGTAAAGTTTGTGGCAGACTAAGGCTGCCGTACAGGTGTTAATATCTAAACTAACGTTTAGGATTCCAATAGCCTTGTATCAAATCAAACAGGCAAATCTAAAAAGAAATGATTGGCATCTTCCACCGGAGCACCACAAAGGCAAGCTTTACTTTCAGATAAATTGTCACGGAAAAGATCAGCATTTAAAGACCTACGTGAATGTCTTAACTTGGTGTGTAGAATATAAGTCTTCCTGTCACCAAATTGGAAATATTTTGGAATTTTATCGTTTTTTTTCTGATAATTTACATCTAAATGATGGTAATGATGTCTCTTTCGCACAGTTAGGCACATGAAGGAACGTCCGGCGTGATACGGGCTCCAAGAAATCCGCAACTTGAGCACATGGCGTTGGGTTTGTTGGTCTGATGAAAGTCGCTATCTTCTACTCGTAGCCAAGGGCCGCTGTTGCGTATGGAGAAGTCATAACGAGGCATATCACCAGAAGATGAAGCATGCAGCTGAACCATTTGGTGGTGTTTCAGTGATGGTGTGAGATTGCGTTTCGTATGACTGCAAGTTGGATCTCATCACATTACCTGGGACACTCAGAGGTCAACGGTTTTGCAAGCAGTACATCGTGCCACATTTTGATAACCATCCCTTTGACTGAATGGTGACAAGGGTTGCTGACGGGACCCGTTTGCGACTCCCACCCTGGAGAAACAGAACACCACATTGTCAGAAACTGAACACGAAAATAACCCAGACCATTTCCATGCTTGTGTAAACAGCGGTCTCCAACATCAGCACCCTAATCTCTACAGATTTGTGAAGTGAGTGAGTGAATTTAATTTTACACCGAACTCAGCAATATTCCAGCCATATGGCGGCAGTCTGTAAATAATCGAGTCTCGATCAGACAATTCAGTGATTAACATGAGCATCAATCTACGCATATTGAATACTATGACATGTGTCAAACAAGTCACAGATTTGTGGACCTGATGCAGGTGACTGACAAGTCCACATCCCAGGCAGGGGAAGGGAGATTGCTGAGTCTAAAGAAGTAGTTGAGTTACTGGACAGAACTCATTTTCGGATGGTGTTGAACATTAAGAGTTTGCCAAAGTTGGGTTTGACAACAATAAGATAATCTGAGCAATGATAGGAACATGTTCACTATTATGGACCGATTCGTTAAAACCAGCGTTCCTGTGTAGTGATAATTTGTTAAAATTATTTGTAATGACAATCTAAGAATTCTTCCCCATTAAAATCACATATTCCAGTTGTTAGAATGTGTTGTCAATATTATTACATAGATGCATCATATTCTGGTTCTGTGTCTTTTCCTTATTCATCTTCCATTTAAAGAGTAAGGTAAACAGGCAACAATTACTAATGCATTCGTCCTTACAACATCCGGTAAGACCGGTCTGAAAAGTATTAAACAAATGCACATATGCCACAAGAGAGCAGGCACCATTGCCAGACTGAGTGCTGAAATTCCACAAACGGATTGAACTCGCACAGTTTTATTGAATGTTGTATACTTTCAGCAACAAAAGTCCTGACGTATCTTGACAGCCTCCATGGTGTAGTAGCTAGAGCGTCCGCCCGGAGAGCGGAAGGTCGCGGGTTCGATCCCCGGTTGCGTCATACCAAAAGACGTTAAAATATCTTACTTGTTGGTCCCTGCCTGGTGCTCGGCATTAATGGGTACAACAAGGACTAGTTGGCTCCGAGTCAGTATAATGTGTCTGAGTAGAGTATTCATGCTTCACTGCGGCATGGTATCTCAGTGAGATAGCACTATAAAACCAGCTTAAGTCTGGTCTAGAACAAGCAGTCCCACATATACATGTATGCACGTCGTCATATGAGCAAAATATGCTTAAACCCCATTTCACCTCACCTCACCTGACGTATCTTAAATAGTTCTTTATCATAGAAATGCAAAACATTGGGGTTGTTTGAATGGTAGTAATGCTCATTCAGGTACATGTACATTCTTAGCTTCACAACATTGTACTTCATACATTCTATTAAGGTATCACTGTCCCAGATAAATGTTGCATTGACAATGAGATAATGCCCCATATACATTGGTGCCTTGATATATGTGTTTGTGTCCCAAAACCATTCTTGCCTTGTCAGTCATACTTACATATCATTGTCCCACATACAGTCGTCCCTTGCAGTTAAGATGTTATTGTCCAACATACATCCTTTCTTTCCAACATTAAATATTGCCTTGGTATTAAGATAGTATTCCCCACATGAAATATTGATTTGGTATTAAGATAGTATCACCCCACATGAACTATTGATTTGGTGTTAATATAGTATTATCCCACATGAACTATTGATTTGGTATTAAGATAGCATTACCCAACATGAACTATTGATTTCGTATTAAGATAGTATTACCCCACATGAACTATTGATTTGGTATTTAGATAGCATTACCCCACATGAACTATTGCTTTGCTGTTATGATAGTATTGCCCCACATGAACTATTGCTTTGGTATTAAGATGGTATTTCCCCACATGAACTATTGCTTTTTTATTAAGATAGCACTGCCCCACATGAACTATTGCTTTGGTATTAAGATAGTATTACCCCACATGAACTATTGCTTTGGTATTAAGATAGTATTTCCCCACATGAACTATTGCTTTTTTATTAAGATAGCACTGCCCCACATGAACTATTGCTTTGGTATTAAGATAGTATTGCCCCACATGAACTATTGCTTTGGTATTCAGACAGTATTGTCCCATAAGTACTATTGCTTTGGTATTAAGATAGTATTGCCCCATATGAACTATTGCTTTGGCATTCAGACAGTATTTCCCCACATGAACTATTGTTTTAGTATTAAAATAGTATAGCCCCAGATGAACTATTTGCTTTGGTATTCCGACAGTATTGTCCCATAAGAACTATTGTTTTGGTATTCAGATAGAATTGCTTCACATGAGTTCTGTTGAAGGAAAACCAAGTTCTATGGATAGTCAACTCATCTATGGTATAAACTCATTCTGCATATTGTTGTAATCACTATCACTCTGTACATCAACCTACTCTGCTCAAATCACCAATTAGTAATCCAATGCATATCAACCTTGTCAATTGTATATACATACTATGCAGTTATGTATATATTCTCCATGTTACAACTCTTTGCAACACTTGCTTGATAACAGTATTAGTTTCTACACCGAAACGTCGCACCCATTGCAAGTTGACTATCCACAGAACTTAGTTTTTCTTCATCTTCACAACTTCTAAAATGCCTCTCAAAGAAATGAGGTCTGTTGCTTTGATATTCAGATAGTATTGTCACACATACATTCTTGCCTTGATATTAAATTAAATGTTATTGTCTCTATACATTATTGCATTAATAGTAGTCATTGATCTCACACTATCGCCTTCCCTTTAGTTAGTATTTCGCAGTAAGCATTCGTTCAAGCCGTCTACGCACTGGGGTAGGTTTTAAGTCAAGGGTTCGTATGAACCAGCATGACACCACTATAGAAGAGAGGCCGAGTAATAAGTTACATTAATTTACATTCCGCAATACAGCGAGTTGTAAAAATCGGTTACGTTTACAAGGTGAAGTTGTACATACAAAACAAGAAAGAGATATAAAAAATCATTCTCAGGTAGCAATTTTGCCCTCACTCAATGAAGGCGAACACTCCATTGAACTGACACCGAAGGTCCTTAATCTTAGCCACAAGTCACCGCCGCACAGTGTGACAGTATATAGACTGTTCGTAAACCTTCTACTGGAACATGTGAAGCCCATTTCTGGGGTCCCCCGCCGTGATGTTGCTGGAATATTGCTAATAGCGGCGTAAAACCAACTCAGTCAGTCAGTCTACTGGAACACCTTAGACTTCATGTTTACTTCATGCCCGGAAAATAATCTTCTTCACTCACAGATAACCCTCAAGGAAGACAGAGATAAGGCCTTATTGAAACGTTTGTGAGTATGGTGGGGGAGGGACGTTCGGGGTGTTTTGAGAGTGGGGAAGGGGAGCGAAGATATGTATTTTTCAGATACCATACATGCTAACTGCACAGTATAAGACATATCGTGACGTGGGTATTGTTTGCGACGTTTTTTGCCACCCTCTTGGAGGGGGAAGAGTGTAACAAGGTCACGGACTTTGAACCGGTAACACCCAGACCAACACAACACATGCACTACTTCCTTAGCAACCACGTAACAATAGAGTATCAAGATCAGATCAGGGGCCGGATTCACTAAACTTCTTAGAATTTTCTTAGATTTATGCTTAAGTTTCCTTAAGAATTCTTAGCTGAGAATTTATCTTAAGTAGCAATCCACCAAGCCACTAAGCATAAATCTTAGCTGAGATATTTTAAAATTCTTAGAATTTTCTTAGTGAGAAACGCATGGGATTATGGGATACAAATTTATGCTAAGAATATTCTTAGATGACGTATTGGAAATCCCCGTATCTATTAATAGCATAGTTGAACTCTCCTCGCGTGGAGATAGAGAAAAAAACTTACGCAGACGA